CCTCTGAAAAATAAGCAGTTTATTTTCCTTACCCTGCTTCATTTCGTCAGTGAACCAATAGAAAATTGGTAGTCTTCTTTTCTGGGCAGGAGCTGTCCCTGGGTAAGATATCCTTCAGAACTGTCTTTGTATAATCTGTCTGCCAGAGCAAAGTACTTTCTTTTTTTCTTATGCGCCTTTATAAAAAGATAATATGTTTGGGTTTATAAAAATACAGTATCTTTCATTAGAACAAGCAATTTGGTTGAATTTGGGCTCATGGGGGAAAGTGGCTTGAGCACCCATCATTAAAGACTGTATCAGAGATGCTGAAGGGATCCAAACCAGCTGTAAATAGGCCAGTCATAACAGCAGTTTGTGACTTTGTAACCATAACGATTTCCTTTTCAATATAGTCATCCTACAAAACAAGATAAATTCATGTACACACATCTGTCACTGTGTGATAGTCGTGTGCCTAATACATCTACCGCAGTGCAGAACTGTCTGCTGTGCTCTTGCTAGTTATAATGTCAATCATAGATTTTCTCTTCAGGGAGGGAGAGAAGATAAATATATAGAGGAGGTGTGAGAGCTTCCTGGACTATTATAGACTGCATTTACTAATGAAAATTTTTTGCTAATAAACACTCTAGCATTAATTGTTTCTAAATGTCTTCTCTTTGCAGCTCACACTACTAACTAAGGCAGTTTTGGTGCTGAATCAGCAGTGAGGTTTCAAGTATGAGCAGAATACCAGCTGCTTTTGAGGATTTTGCCACATTCTTCTGGATGTTGATTTCTTTCTTAGAGCGTCAAAGCTTCATGAAAGTGTGTGTTCACTTGAAAGTCTTGTGCATGTATCCACGACAGCATGATGTTCTCAGCCATCATTAAGTGAGGCTGTAATATATTATAGTATCTTTTTCAGGTATGTTCTTAAGGTAAGCTAAGCATTCTCTTAAGGAATGGCAAGTCTAGTTGTAATAAGGTGATTACTTTGCTATAATGAGGGAATTATCTTGCTATTCTAGGACAGTTGGATGTGTTTTAGTGGCACAACTGGTAAGCAAAATTGAAGCATTTGTGTTCAAGTACTTGCAAGAAAGGGATGGTGTCTTTAGTTAGTCAGTGCCAGCTTTGAATGTTAGGCTGCTGATCTCCCAGTGAATTGCTGTACACTGTCTATCCATCTTGACCTTCAGTATTCCCTGTTGAGATGACCCATCATCATTCTTCCTGTAATTAGTTTCTAAAGGTTATTTCCATCTCTGTGCTGATGTGAGTGAAGCATGTAAGTTTGCACCTGTTGATTTCTGACAATAGTGAGTCTTTTCCAGTAATGTTTCTAACTTCAGCTTTCATCTCTGAAAGAGACATGCAGGGATCATTGGCGGCATCATATCTCAAAGGCTTCAGTTTTCTTTCTCTCAGCAGAATTAGGTTCCCACAGTTTCTGTCTAGAGTTTCCTCTGGAAGTGACGGATTTTTTCACCTGTTGGGTTTTCAGGTGATTGAAGGTGTGGTTATTTCCAGATGGTCTTAAGGCAGGTGTAAAAATTGTTGAGTCAACTCCTGTAAATCCACATTATTGTGATTGAGCTGATTTTTTCACTTCTCTGCAATGGCCTCTTTCATTAGATTCCTATGATCCTATATAACTGAATTCAGCTATTGCATGTCAATTTGCCATTAATTATAAAGTTTCTCATCCTATTTTTTAAGTCAGTGCTTAATGTATGTTTCATGCTGGTTTTAATGACTATATTTAATCTGATAGGGTTCGGCCATTTATGATTATAGAACTTTGGAGAAAGTGCATTATTTTACCTGTGTTAAAATACTGCATAGGCAAGGAGACTGGAGGAAGCATCTAAGAAGAATAATGAAGTGCTCTGTTGGCTGCTCTGGTTGTCAGGACTTGGGAGGTCAGATTGTGAGTGAGATGCAACAAGACTAAATAATTTATATTTGATCTATGCCTTTCCATTATCCAAAAGACAAGAAAGAAGAATTCTTTGTTTCTGGATTTCTGGCTGGGAAAATTATGATTTTATTACTTCATATTGGATGTTCAGATCTCACCTAGGATAACTGCTGCTTTAGTAAAAAACACTTCTCTACTCAGTTCCATGCAGACTTGAGATGGTTATCCTTATGGACTGCAAGAAGAGACCACAAAGAAATTCTATTTTTATGTCTGGTGTGAAGGCACTTATTCAATTGCCATAGCAGACAAATGGAATATACCATCTAGCGTTTAATAGCTGGCAAATTCTGAGCTATGTAGTCCAAGTGGTATTGGAGATTCTACAGGTAATGTGGAGTTAAAGGATGTGACTCACCAATGCTTATGGTTTCAAAATCAGTTCTCTACAGCATGCAACAGCTTCACCCTGATCAGCCCTGATGTCAGTAAAAGGGACCAAATCCCTCCCACAATGCAATTTTTAACAAAATTTGGTGCAGATAAGTTCATCAGAAATCATAAAAAATGGGATTCTGTTTGTACTCAGAGGAATCTATAAAATGATGCTTTTGCTCTGTGTCTCATTTTATGCAAAACATTTTAATTTATTTTTTTAATTTTTTCTTGGAACATCTTCAATATGATAGAATATTTAAAGTGCACTTTTAAATAGTGGCTGGCAATCTGTGAAACACCATTTTAGCATGAATGAAGTCATATGCTACTAAAATACTCCTTATACTAGGAAACTGAGATAAATTGAAAGTAGCACAGCTAAAAAAAGGGAGGGCAACAGGTGTTTTATTAGACAGCAGATATCGGCTTTTTTTACATGTGTAAAATAACTGATACTTCATCCTAAAAATTGTTACAAATTTGTGTGTTTCTACTACTGAATATCAGTAAGTCACACTGTTACTAATTTAGTGCATGTTCCTTTAAGGTGTTTTTGATGAATAAAACATGATACGCTCTCCTAGCATATCACCAGTTTTGTAATGTGGTACAGGATTGAAAGAATTTTGCTTGAGAACCAGGCATTTGATGACTAAGAGTATGCTGGAAAATGGAACAAGGCAGGCTGTACTCCTGCACAAAAAAACCTGCATTCTGTAATTACAGAGATGACTGTAAGGTGCATGTGCAGCCTGTTATAAAGAAGTATTTTCTGTGTTGCAGTAAATGGGAGAGTAATTTTCTTAGATACACAGATCTTAGTCACCTACTTAGTGAATAAGAGCAGTGTGATTTACCTCTGCCCAAAATTTAAAATGCCTTTGACTGTTAATTTGAGCAAGTCTCCAAAGTGAAGCATCCCCGATGCCAATTTTCCCACTGTTTAAATCTGAGATCCTCCCTAGTTTATTGCTGTAATTTACAGAACCTTTTAGAATGTGCTGTTTAAAACCATATTGTTGGGAGTTTTAGCACCATAGACCAAAGAATATATAGATGATAAAATGGTTTCAGTAAAAGCATTCAACCTGATGTTTCAAATTTAATGTTCTGTATACAGAATGCTGTAATATTCTCACATCCTAAAAAATATGGTACCTTCCATAAAGTAGTAGTTTCAGGTGACTAATCATTGTGTAAAGCACAGAACTGGTATTTAAATGCAAATCAGGGGCCTTTAGGTTTGTGCAGTTTTGGTATTTTAGAATGATTCACAGCACACCCCTTAGGTGATTCCATTTTCTTTTGTAAAATGTGTATAATAATGTAGATTTAACTAGAAACATTGACATTTTAAAAATATGTGTGCAATGGATACAAAATATAAAATGGTTTGAATTCAGTTTGCAAATGCACATACTATTTAAACTGAGTACAACTGAAGTGTCAGTCTGGAAATGTGGAGTGTCAGAGCCATCTGGAAAACACACCCCTGGGCTATTCAGACATCATTTCTGTCCCAAGACCCTTGCTGTCATGGCTATTGAAGATCTTGCATGTCTTAAGATTTTATGTAGAGAGCCTTTTTTAGGCTTTGCTGCAATGGCATGCAATGAAGGCACTCATGCCACCTAAATACCATCTGTCCATGCAAAGCACAAGAGGGTCTTACGATCTCAGGGAGATCCTGGCTCCATGGAAACTGAAGCAGAAGACTTGTAGTGACTTTACTGGAGCCAGGATTTTCTGTATCTTCAAACAAATGCTTTTGCAGTAATTGGATCTGGACCTGGAGATCAGTATCAACTGCTGATGTTATCGAGCAGTACTGGTGATGCTATTGAGCTGTAGAACATTATTTGCCATAATGGTTGTGATCAGAGACAAATCTCTCTTCCCTCTCATTCCAAAGGAGATGTACAGGGAGGAACCCTCAATCTTTTCAGGAACACATCAAGAGAAGAGAAAATGGTCAGTGTATTCAGAATTGCAGTCCCACTTTTCACTAACTCTTTGGGTGAGAGCCCATGGTCTGCTCTGAAATCATACTGCAGTTAGACAGCCTCACCAGATACCTAACTAATGGTGTAGCTGCCCGGGTCACTGCTGGAGAAAAGGCACTGTGGGTAGAATATCTTTTCAGTTTAGTCATTTCAAAGTATGAAAAGGTCTTTTGAGGCCACAAGGGCAACTGCTGGTTTCCTGAGATTTGCACTGATTAGATCAATCCTGGGCTAAGGCCAGAAGGTGAAAGGGTGAAGAAGGATGAAAGCTTGACTTCAGACCTTCACGTCTCTGTTTGTCCTGCAATCTGTGTCTTTGCTGAGCCAAGAGATTCTAGCAATGTGCTTATACAGGAGATCTGGGTTAGGTAAACCTCTGTTTGGAATTTAAAAACATAAAATATACCTTAAAAACACATTTTGAAATATAAAAGGAAGAGAACCCCTTTTCAAGTACACAACAATAAAGATATTCTTTGTAATCATTCTGTAACTCTCCAGTTTTCTCCATTTGTTTGAGTGACTGTGCTAACAGTCAGTCAAAGTCATGTAGGCAGTACATGTGTGTGACACAGCTACAGAACATAAAAATTTAAGCTGAAGAAATGAACCTCTCTTGTGATACTTCAGGATTTACCTACTAATAATTGCTTGCCTGTGGCTTAAAAAACTTCACAAAAGCTGTCTGAAATCACACTAGGAAATCCTCTGAGTTCAGTCAAATCTCTGATTTAGTCAGCTTCAGCTATCACTGCTATCACCAGCGCATCTATAAATACATCTGCTTTCACAGAGTACACATTCTGAAATTTGCCCGTTGCCTCCTCAGAAGTGCAGAGCTATCATTGCTATTAGACAAGCCTGGCTTCACCAAAGCCAACATTAACCCAGCCTAGAGGCCAAGCCCATCCCTTGTTGTTAGTTTTGATAGTTGCTGCTATCATTTGATAGTTCGCTTGTAGCCTGTCCAAGTTGGCAGTGTCAGACCAAGCTGATTGGAGCTGCAGACATTTTTGCTGACTGGAGTCATGCTATCTTTGCCAGTTTGCTGGAATAGACACAGACACTGATTGGGTCATGCTGAAAACATTCCTGTCCTATGAAGCAAGTCTGTTTGTATTTTAGGTTTGCCAGGACTAATGAATTAAAAATCTTGGGCTCGCTGCAGTTTGCTGCTTAATAATGCCTGTGACAGAAGGATTTTTTCCTCACTGAAGCGTGACAGCATCATAATCTCTCCTCACTGACAAGGAGAGGAAGGAAAAGTGGAATTGTGGAGAAAAGTGGAAAAGGGTGATCTTTTGGGACAGCAAAGCCTATGGGAAGTGCAGGTAGCAGCATGTTGCCCTGACAGCTGTCTCAGCTTCTCAGACCTTGTCAGTTTGTTGCTATGCAGCAGGTGCAGCCTTTTCTTTTATTGAAGCTTTACTCCATAAAGGCAACGACAAGCCAAGGCAGTGGCTGGCCCTGGATTATACAAGTGCAGACACTCCGCTAAGTGAGGTAAGGCAACAGGTGTGAAAACTGAACTAAATTGATAGAGCTGTAACAGCACTTAATCTGAGTTCTGCAGCAGGTTTTTCATGGAGAACCAGCAGCCAGTTCTGTAGGCAATTGTTGTGAAGAAGAGAGAGGCTCATTAAATCTCACTAAATTCCAGGTTGCCCACTCACCCTCTGTCTACAGAGATACTGTTCTTCATACATGGAGAAAGCAGGTGGGGAACTGGGGGCAGTTGGTCTGTGTGTTTCCTGTATCACTTTGTCTGCACACAGGCTGCTTCCATCCCTTTCTGTTCTCTGTGACTGCTTTTTGTGATGAAAAGCTTGAGGACTCTGCACAAAAAGGAGTGAAGGGATGAATGCAATATAAAAAAAATGGATAGGAGGATAACTGCTGCATATAAAGATGAGATTTCTTTTTCTGCATTGGAATAAAATGAAAACACTTTTTTGTGTTATGATAGAATTCACCCTTGCTTATCCAAGGGGTATTGATTTTTGCCCTCATATATAAGATGGTTAAAAGAGGTAATTTAAAGACATCACAGACCACAGAGTGTGTGACTGGGATAAAAAAACAGATTTGCTCCTAGCAATAATTTTGTGGCAAATTTAAAACCTAAGCAGAATGCATCATTTTCATTTCTCAGGCTATGATATGAAATGTTAAGTATACTCTTATGTGGAATACCACTTGAGATAGTAAGCAGATGTCAGGGGACTGTGTTCCAACAACACAGAATGATGAACAGCCTTGTTTTAAGGATGTGCTTATCACTTTAAATCTCTTATTTTCTTTTTTTTTTTTTTTTCTTTTATTGGGAAGTATGGAAGGGAAATATAATAAAGAATTTTTGATTAGTAGTTCTGTTGTTTTTGAAGAACAATGAGATGTTTCAGATGTTTCTTATAAGTGAGGGTCGGGGGGGGGAAGAGATCAATAATGCTCAGAAGGTAAAAATTATCAGTCTAATGCAATGCATTTTGAAAGGGAATATTTCAGTTGACCCAAGGATCTTTTCCTGAGTCCAAAAACACACACTGTTGCAGTTTAGTTGACTTTTCTTTGTCTCTGCCCAATAGCTATGAGCTCAATTTTTGTGTCTTGATTATTAGAAATGGGGAATAAAGAACGATACCTGATATCCTTCATATATTAGTAGAAGGAGACACTCTCAGCTCCAAGTAAGATTGATTTGAAGTAATCATTTTAGATTATTTGCTGTTATTTTAAGAAAGGATTATGTACTTCAAATAACAATTTATTGTGTAGCATTGCTACAGGGTAACCGTATCACTCTGCTAGCTAAATATTAAGACAGACAGAGGAAAAACAAAATAAATGCTGAAATTAATGTGTCAAATGCAAATTTGATACTCCTCCACTGATTGCAAGGCAGTGATGCCAGGGAAGTGTTTGATTCACTTGTGCATTGCCAAGGAAGATTATAACCCTGAAATATTGTTCTGTTCTATTGACTTTCTGAGACTGCCAAATAAAGTGTAAATTAGAATGAGTTGTTCGGATTTCTGTGCAATGCAATAGCTACTTTACTGAAAAACTGCAAGACTATTGGCTTAGGAAACTGGCTTTTGCTTTCACTAGGTAAATGCTGAGTTGTCTATTGATGTGGTACAACTTTTAGTAATTAATTGTATTTTCCTGAAGAATTTGGTTTCTAATTGACTGAGTTTTTATCTTACTTTGAAAGTGACTCTCATAACTGTCCATATAGTTGGTATGGATGCAATGCACTCTGGATAGCATAGTCTTCAGTCCTAAAATAATTTCTTTATGGGCAAATCTTTTTCATGCATGATGTCCCACTTGACTTCATGTTCTCCACACATGGAGCTAATCAGAAGATTAATATCTGTGAATTTTAGCAGCTTTGTGCTAGATATACAAGGAGATTAAGTTTGCTTTTAGCTATTTAATAGAATTTAACCAAAACCAGTCAAAAGGTTAAATATACGCTGAGCTCTGAGTACAACGTTGGAGTGTTCAGAGATGCTTTAATTATACCATTACAGATCAGTAGTGGCTAATTCTTTTGTTGCTCAACAATTCTTTAGTGCCCTGCTTGAAATGAACTAGCAGTTTTCTTAATGGACAGGGTTTCATCTCAGTAAAACTACTTTTTGGGATTGGTGGTCTCAGAAGAAAGACCGAGGACTGAATAAGGTCCTGATCCAGGAGTCAAACCCATGCAGACAGACCCCTACACCTGCACAGAGTTCCACTGAAGGATCACCACCAAGGTTTGGAGACCCAGTAACTTTCTGACCATTAAGTGTGTGACTATCAAGTACAGTTTGACTGGGGGAGTATGGGTGGAAGGTAGGAGGATGGGTGTCTCCTCATTGACACCATGTGGAGTGGTGTGCACGTTTCCAATCACATGGCAGGCTTGGGGTCATGTTACTCTCAACTCCCCACCCCTTCTTCCTTCTTCACCTTCAGAACCAGGCAGCATTGCCACGAGTCAAGGCTTGCTGAAGGGGCAATGGCGGGGAGCAAGCAGGTGAGGAGAGGGGAAGCTTCCTTTGCCATCATTCTTTCTAATCTGTAAATAGCAAAAGAAAGGCAGTCTCAGCACTGAATTTCACTTAAATCCTTTTCAAATGGAAAAGTGAAATGGCGCTCCCTTGACTGATTCTAAACATTGCTTAGCTAGAATGAGAAAGATAGCTATGAATGCATGAAAAGCATTAAACCTCATTTGTTGAATGGTGTAATGTGCTCTGTAATAAATATATTGTTTGTATTATTACAGCTGGAACAAACAAGTAAAAGCATTGACTCAAGTGCCCACATGATCACCACCGCCAGGGTACCTGCTGATAAACCAGTACGAATTGCCTTCAGCCTAAATGAATCCCCAGGTACAGTTTAATTTATGCAGTAAACCACAGTGAAATGATTGCTTTAAAATTTTACATGTTCTTACCAATGTTTACAATATCAAATGAAGTCCAGTGTTACGCATGCATTTTTTTCCTAAGTGATAGCATGTGATCAGTTTCCCTGTCCGATAAATTTTAATGTTTCCGTTAACAATTTCATTATACTAAAACCACGAGCCTGATGGTTTAGATCTTAGCTTTCTTTCAGTAGTTTGAGTAATATAATTTGGATTGTAATTAACTATCGAATTTAACTGCATATGCGGTATGTCTGATTTTAAGGAATTTTAAAACAAGAAAAGAAAAATGACATGTTTTACTGAGGATGATGCTAAGAGCAGGAAGAGACTTTCCCTTCAGCAGGGAGGTTGGAAAGTGCTGTATGTGCCCAGCCTGATGAAAGGTTTCAGGAAACAGATGCCCCACATGGCATGTGCCCTGAGAAAGCATCAGAAATTTCATTGATGCTTATCCTGTCAGCTAGTGCTGATTGCGTATTAATTTCCCCAAACATACCCTGTACATACATGGATCCTTTCATCTCTGGAATAGATGGATGTTATTAGTTTTCACCTTAAATATTATTGAAGTCTAGAGAAGCTGTTGCCAAACAGTAAAAGTTAGAATGAAATAAAGTAAATTGGAAGCATCCCCAGAAAAGTTGCCTGTGCTGTTACTAAAGGTGGGTGCATGGACCCAGGGTTGGGATGTGTTTATGGCATGACATATAAGGATCTTTGATAACCCCAACTGAAACTTACTGCTGATGAGTGCTTTATGGAAGGGTATGCATTGCAGGATAATGTGTGAGGCTGCTTCCTGAGTTTTGTGTGAATAGTCTCAGTTTGAATACAGTTCTCTCATTTTAAAAGTATTTTAGAATATGCATTATCTTTCCTAGATAGTTGTTGTGTAATATTAATTTGCAGCTAGAAGCCTGAAACAGAATCTTATTCCCTAAGCGAGACAATTTAAAACCAAATATCATATATTACTGCACATCAGTTTCAGCTCAGGAGTACATGTGGCTGTGTGCCATTTTTGTAGATTAAAATAATTTTGTAATTACATTTTATTATAGAAAGTAATAAGGAATCATTCTTATCTTTCAAGGCATAGTAACATGGCAAATTTCTCACAGGAATTGTGGCAAAAATAAGCCTTGAAGAGAGATGTAAAAGAAAGGGGAGTGCTCTTACAAATTATGGAAAAAGAATGCTTATGTGAGATACTGAAAACAAGTCAGGGAAAGCTGAGACCATGGGAAAATCAAAGAGGGCAGGGTGGTTTGTGACAAGAGACGGCAGTAGGAAATGACAAGGTTGTGAATAGCTTGGAAGAAGACAACATGAAAGGCAGGAAGCCTAGCTTCCTTAACATTGCATCATACTTTATTTTTTACTTTCTATCTTGCTAATAATTACAGCCTTTCTTTAAACATTTAGAGAAATAAACCAAATTACAGAAAGCTAATCTTTTTCTGCTACAGTTTGATTAAACTTTTCCGTAATTATGAGTCCTTTATTGTATACATACAAGTGTTCCTACAGTATGCAATCCAGAATCTGTGTGAGTACTGATGAAACTAAACAGCAACCAGTAAAGTGAGGGCCAGCTCCTCAGTATCGCATCCCCTTGGGTTCTATCAGGAGATCTAAAACAGCATACGATTTTACCATGTCAGAAAAATTCTGTTCTTGCTCTTAATAGTAAGCCTGAACTTGGTTATTACATTTGATACATCTAAAGAAGGGAAAGGAAAAAAAAAATTCTTACCAGCTTTGAAAATTTCCAGCAAACCATCATTGAATCAAGAGAGTATAAAGTATTTAACACTTTATTTTTCAAGATGAACTACAAAAACACTTTACAGATAGACCTTTAAGTATTCCATATTTGGCTTTTATTTTTTTGTTGTTCCTCTTGGTTTTTTCTCCTTATTTTTTTATATTTAATCTTTTTTTCTCTCCTTGACAAGGGTATTTGTTTTCAGTTCAAACAGGAGTTACCTGCTGCAAGCGTGATGGTAAATCATCAGTTAAGGCTTGTGTACTGCTTGGGTATATACAAAATGTTCTTCACCAGGGCTAAGTGGTGAGGCAATCTGTCTGACTTAAGCTTTTCCTTAAATTCTACCTCACTTGAAAGGCACAGTAACAGATTCACCAAGAAAGGCTTGCATTCTCCTTCCGGGGGCTGTACAACTGCTTACGAGGAGGAACTGGCAGCATAACTGGATATAAAAAGGGGAAATGGAATGTTTCTTCTGGGTGCTGATTATCTCACTGGCTAGGATTGTAACCAAGCACTGGGTGTGAGGAGCAGCAAAAGGAGAAAGTGCTCTCGACTCATGAGAAGAGATTAGTTTGTGTTAACTGACCTACAGGACTGGATCTGGTTTATCCTGAGTATAAAAGAAATAATTTAATTGTGTTATATTATTTGCCAGTCAACACCTGATGACTGAAATCCTGGCCAACTTTGAGCAGTATTTTTAATGTGGAAGTAGGCTAGCCAGTTCCTTAAAAGTCTCAGGAGCAGACCATGAGAGGGTGCTATATAAGAAGGCAGTTTTATTGTGTATCTCTTATTCATGTATATATAGGTATCTATGTTTGGCTCTTTTACTCAGGTTCACTAAACTGGCATCAAACATAGGTTTCTCAGGGTGTGTCTGCACACTGTATTGCACCAGTTTGACTTAAGGTACCATCCTAATTTAATGAATTTCAATACTATTATTTCAGCCCACCTTATATCAGTGGAAAACTAATGCAAGTTAAACTGAACTTGGTGTTCTGAAATTTGAATGTGTTCCCAAATAGAAAATTCATTGCCATTTATCAAAATCAAGTTAATTAAACAAATCCAATGTGTCCTAATTTATATCACTGACTTATTTACTGAACATATTAAGATGCAATGATTATAACAGGAACTTGATTAATTTTAGAGAAGTGGATTTGTTTTGTGTAATAGTTCTAAAGGAGGTTTTATAGGTAAACATCGCTTTCCCTCCTAGAATAAAATCTTGACTCTAGATGAAAAGTTCTGCTAGTGATGTGGTGATAAGTAATATCTTTTATTTGAAATTAATCTACTTCTGATAGCACTCTCCAGAAAAACCACTGATAACAAAGGCAAAGCATACATCCTCTAATGAAATTGCAGACAGTGGAACAATGTAATATTTTTGAAAGCACAGCAAATGACTTACTTTACTCCTCTTTATGCCTTTGTTATCCTACTGACCATGAAGAATTTTTTGCTTTTACAGTTGATCATGCAAGACTCTTTTGCAATAGTTGCTTCTTCAATAACAACCTTCAAATCCCTCTTCCATCCTCATTTTGGTTGTAATGGCAACAGAGGCTTTCCAGCAGATAAGATACTGGCTGAAAACCGGTGGGGATTGCTAAAATATGTGGCTAAAATGTGAAAAGCTAGTTTCCTAAAACTACACCCAGACTACAAGTGAGCGGCTTGATCTTTGGGAAATTAGACAGGAACTTAAGTGAGATACCCTCAAAGGGGTAGTGGCCGCGCATTCATCCGAGGATGCTTTAGGCTTAGGTGAAGGTATATGTAGTAGGAGGGTTTTGCTCTTATCTCTTCTGTTATGGGCCATTTCTATTTTGGGAAGGTCCACAACTCTTATTACTGAGCAATCCTTCATAGCCTATTCCTGGGTCAGGCAGTGACCATTCCCCACTATTTTACGAGTGAGGTAACTGTGAGGTTGTGTAAGGTCATGTTAGGCAGGGCTGTGAATAGAAGCCTGGGAGCTTCACTCAGCGGTGCCAAGTCGCAGTCACTTAGCCACACAGCCTTCCAGGATGAATTCAATGAGTCTATGCTTGTCTGTCAGTAACCAGACTGGAGCTTCTGGATCTCACTGTCCTGCTAAGGCCAAGAATGGACCCCAGTACACAGTTTGCTAGTGTTGTTCCACTGTGATTTGCAGTACTTGCAGTTGAGTTTGGGCACTTGCCCTGTGTAATAGCTGATCCACTTACAGGATAACAGCCTACTTATGTTACTAATTTAATTCTTTAATTTAGGAGGAAGAGATCTGAATACACTTACCCACGCATGTAGGAGAAAAAAATAGTACCTGATTGTATAATTAAAGACTGGATCATAACTCAGTTACTCAAGGAAGCAGAGCTGTCATTGGCATTTCCTAAATTTTGAGTGCTTGATTTAGCAACCTTAATATGCTTTCAACACATTTGAATTTTTATGTTCTATTTCTGTCTTTGTGAAGATCCTTGAGAAAATGTAATTCACAGGTTTATACTGCAAGTAAATCAGATGTTGTTCTTAAATTATTCATTAACTATTGCCTGTATCCCACAGCTCAGCTAAATAGAGCAGCCATATAGGAAAAGACTGGGGTGTTACACTTAATTGTATCAGACATTGTGTCAGTCAGCAAAGTGTGAGGGATTTTGCTCGTTCGTCTGTGTGGTGGAGGTCTGGGCTATTGGAATCTCCAGAGGCCAGAACATGATTGAATAAGTGAAACTTTCCAGAAAGTGTGATTAATTCTCAAATGTACATTAGCATATAGCAGGGGACTGAATGCATCAGGACACCACTGAGAAGTAGTAAGCCTTTTCAATGAAGACAATCAGTGTTAATACAGTACAATCCTCTAAATCAGATGGCTTGTGTGGATCTCTGTACTACACATTAGAAACCCACCTCTCTTTTGTATTAATAGATACTGTTAGCAAAGACAAGAACTTACCTGGGCAGTAGATTGTTCCTCAAAGAGCACACCCAGTGACCCACACAGCTCCATCCCCAGGCAGACAGGAGGCAATGAAAAGAGACAAAAAGGAGTCACTTGAATGGGCAGAAGAGTCTTGTTAAGATGTTATGGTAGGAAATGAATAGGCTAGTATTGGTTGCAAAGGTGGGTAACATTCATTTTGAGGGAGGAGGCTCAGGGAAAGACCTTATCGTTCTCTACAGCTACCTGAAAGGAGGTTGTAGCGAGGGTGGTGTCAGTCTCTTCTCCAAAGTAACAAGTGATAGGTCAAGAGCAAATGACCTCAAGCTGTGCCAGGGCAAGTTTAGATTGGATATTAGGAAAAATGTGTTCGCCAAAAAGGTTGTCAAGCATTGGAACAGGCTGCCCAGGGAAGTGGTTGAGTCACCATTCCCGGAGCTATTTAAAAGACTTGTAGATGAGGAGCTTAGAGACATGGTTTAGTGGTGGACTTGGCAGTGCTGGGTTAGTGGTTGGACTTGATGATCTTAAAGGTCTTTTTCAACCTAAATAATTCTATGATTCTATGACAGTGAAAATTGAGCAGCCTAACGTTGCTGCCCTTACACAAATGTGCCCGTCACACCATTTAAGCATGAAGGAGTTGACTGGGCAGCATGCTTAGGGAGCTTGTTATTTTGTTGCGGTGTTAGTTTTGATGTAGAAATGGTCAGAGAGCTGGCTCTGACATAGAAGGGTACTTTGTCTGAGCCCAGCTGGTGGAAAGCAAAAGGAGGAAGTAATTTCCCTGGAGACCCTCCCTCAGATGCTCTCTGTTATAATGACAGACTTCAGGAACAAGCAAAATAGATGAATGAACCTGAAGAAACAAACATAAAACCCAAACTGTATCCCATACACATGAACCAAGCCTTTAGTTAAAAAACTGTATATGCAGAGTTCATCTTGTAATTGGGGTAAAGGTACTTTAATATACTTTTATATTTCAAAAATTAGTTTCAGGATCTATGGGAAATCAGGAAGTGCTACTCAGTTAGAAATTATGCAACAGATAACTTTGACTTAGGTGGTTGTAATGACGTCCCTGATCTCTTTCACATCATATGTTAGTGCTCTTAACTTGCTCAGATGGCCATAACATTCACATGTATGTTCTTCCTCCTTTCTTTTTTTCTTGTGACCAGAACCTTGATTCATTTTCAGTTGCAGCAGATTGTAGTCTCTGAATTTTTTATATTTTTATTTTTAAACAAAATATGTTTTCGATAATTATCTTGAATCATTTTTCTTTATGAGTGACAGGGAAGGGAGCAGTAAAATAGTGACCGCAGGAGCTTGATGCTTATGTTGATGCTTGATGCCTAGTTATTTTCTGGGTATTGTGAAACAGAAAAGCCACTAACTTTATTATAAAGGGAGTCTTTGATTATGTCAGTGATTCCTTATAACAATCAAGTCATTAAATACTGCTAATAAATTGAAGGAGAAGAAGAGCTATTTCTAAATTCTGTTGTCTAAGGAGATGTAGAATAGAAAAGACAGATGAAGAGATAATTATGAGAGTGTTTTGATCTTTAGAATATCTTCTTTGATATTTCAGACATTTTCAGTGTTTCTGATTTTCATAGTCATAGTTTTTTAAGGCTGGAAGCCAATGCGGTTTCGTCCAATCTCCTGCATAACAACCAGTGTTCAAGCTTGTAAGGACAATAGTGACTTTTAGGGGAAAATGAAAGACTTTGTATCTTTCCTCTTGACTTTCTGAAAATACCCTCAGTAAAGTTTTAGGAGGTGAATGACAGCTGTAATTTGCTTTCCCCTTGTGTGATATATAAATGTATTTATGTTTTACCAAGTGATTTTTGCTGTTATTGTTGTGGTTGTTACTTTGACTACAGTGAAATACAGACTGACCTGATGCAGTAATTTATTTTCACTGAAAGCTTTTCTTTTTATGGGAAGCAAGATTGAAGTTAGTTGTGAGAATTTCTGTTAGTTTTTGTAAGCTAAATATTTCAGCTGAAGATTTCAGAGTAGCCTAAGAGAATTAGGAACTCAGAAAAATTTCAAACCACCAAAGTCCTCGACTTTTCTTGATGATGTTCTACACTTCAGATGATGATTTAAACAAGTCTTAAACTAGCATAACTAAAAAAAAACTCTAGCAGCTGTTCAATGGATGCTAGGGCAGGCCCATTATAAAATGTACTATGGTATGTCATAATGGTTAGGATACCAATATGTTCTATTTTTAGTACCATTGACTCAGTCACTTGAGCTCAAAAAATAAGAAGGGAACATCTGCTTATTGAAAGGATTTCCTCTATAGTAATTTCTGTTTCCATCCCATCCTTTTAAAAAGTATTTCCAAACATTTCTCTTACTGGTTCTCTTCCGAAGATAGTCCAATATATTTTCTAATATTCTGACACTGTATTAATTTTGATTTCTTGTTAATATCCAGTACAGTGAAAAAGTAATTTTTGGCTGATATTTTGTTACAATTTTTGAAGTTGTTTTTGCTTTGTTTTTCTTATGTTAAAAACGTTTGAGGTCCTTCCTTAAAGCTACTGTACCAAAGATTGTACTTCTGGAATTGTCAAAACAAATAGCAGCTTAGCTGCTGTGGACACAACTCTGGTCCAATATCTCTGTCAGAGAATATTTAACAGCTATTCAGCCAAATATTTGTAGAGCAGCTGTACCCTTAGTCAGACAGCCCTATTCCATGCTTCCTTTTAGCCTTGCCATATGATTCATCTTTCTTCTTTTAGAATATTAGTCTGTTTTTTAATTTTGTGAAGAAAGCAACAGCAAATTAAAGGTAAATAATTACATATCAGTGTGTTATAATTCTATACAATTAAAACAGTCAAAATATTTTCCAGAATGGACATATTTGTGACATGGCATAAAAAATGAAGTGTGTGGAAGTGGGTATGACTTCTTGATAATACTAGCAAAACCTCTATCCCATGAAAATACAGAATTTAACTTTGTTTCCTGGGGAAATTCAAGAGCTTTTGCTTTTTCCCTCTGTATCACTGTAGGGGTTTTTTTCTTCTCTGGGCATCTCCCCAGTTTATTCTTCATAGGGTAAGGTGAATTATTTTACTTTTTGTCCCTAACCTGCTTTGCTGTATGTCCACTGAGGGAAGGAAAAACAGAAAACAAGTATTTTACAGATAATTTAAATCCTAGTCTGTATTCTCTAAGAATATGCAGAATCCTGCTTTGATACATGGTAATCTTATTCTTGTTGGGGTTTTGTTGGTGTGTGTAAATCTGCCAGCACAGAGCAGGTTGCAGGATCTGACCTATGTTAGCAATTTTCTCCTATGAGAGCCATCCTTATTTAATTCTGACACATTACAAATAACTGTAGTAAGCTTGCTAATAGTAACCTTCTCTTGACCTCCCGTAACCTGTAGTAAGATGCATAAACAGTCATCACAATCCAGTTCAAAACTGATAGTGTGAAAGTCACTGAGAAAGAAATATTGCAGTGGCTAGCTGTGACGCCACCGAGTATGATTCATATTTCTGATCTCAGTCCAGCTACTAGTGGGCAGGTGTCCACTTCACAACACTGACGTAACTGGCACAGTCTGTCCCACCTTTGCTGGAAGCCTGTACTAAAAATAAAGAAATAAATAAAAACACAGATTGGCCTGTTGTCATGAATCAACTAACTCTAGCTCGTAAGGATTGTTATCTACAGGTTGAAGACATTCCTTTGCAGTACGGAGAAGTTTGTGATGCTTTCCCCATTCTGATCACATCTGTATGGGTAGCAGTCTTCTGGTTCCAGGGTTGACAGTCTGGTTTCTGTGTTCTTGGGGTTGCCTTTGTGTGGCAAAAGTTTTCTGTTATTGTTGGGTTAGCCCTGGTATGTCATTGTATTGTGATGGGGAAAATATCTTTCCCTTCATTCAAGTAAATGAACACTTTGGTAATAAGGATGGTGTCCCTAGAAGTTTCTTTACTTTGCAATGTAATAGAAACCTCAGGAAGAAAGACTGTTTGTTTAGATTAATTTTTCTTATTAAGTGATCACATGTTCTACTGTTAACTGGCTTTGTTTAGGTTTTAATGACAGCAATACAAAGTAGGCTTTTGTCTTTCCATCACCTAAACCTTTACTTATTGCCAACTCATTAGTACTTTCAAGGAGCCTATTGGGGTATCTCAAGTGTAGAAAGATAAGCAGATGATGATGTGTTTGCAGTATCACAGTATTATTGTGAATACATGCAATGTAGAACAGCATTAAACAGGTCATTTGAAATGCCCTTTTCAGCAGACATTGACTTTTAACATCATGTTTACCTTTTAGATGAAGCTTCCTCTGAAAACTTCCCTCTGACATTTCCAGAACTAGATCAGCAGCTGCAGGTAAACCTTTTCACTATAGTTCTTCACATTCACTGTATTTGTTATGATAAAAACCTCTGGTTGCTACAGTAGAGTGAAAGTGGTGATTCTCTAACCTGTTAATATTTAATAAGACTGTACATTTCCACAGAAAAAAAATTGTCTTTTCAAGATCTGCAGAAAAATTTATATGATATTTTTAATCCAACTGTAGGGAAATGACTATTTTAACAATCTCACCTGCCTTTAAATTTTTTTGTACAATTCCTGTGCAAAACACAGCAGGTACTGCTGTAATGCAGTGAAGAGAGTTCTTGTGGTTTTGATGGGAGAAGGAATGAGCCAGGTTTTACATTCTCATGCCTACAGACTGTGCTAAGACTGTTATGATTAGCTTTCTCTGAAGCACTCCAAGAGAGTGCAAAGGTGCATTTTGTAGTGCCATCTTATTTCTAATCTTGAGTGACTAAAGCCAGTCACGAGGATCGGTAAGAGTCTTCTCAAAGTTACTTTAGTACATGCTGCATAGCCAGCAACCCTAACTGTTGCCCTAGCAAGTGTCTGCAGACAGCATGGGATAAAAGTGGTGAATCTCTTTGTGAACAGTCTGATTTGTCACTGTAGTACAATGGAGCCTGGGTATACAGGACAATCAGATGGCAGTTGATGGCAACTCCATGGTCCAGTAGGCACAGAGCCAGCTCTGTATCCAGGGATTATTTCCCTTTCCTCTGTGGCGGTTCTGGAGCGCTTGTTGGCTTTTGTAAACTACTTCAGATCATCTGTTTCCCAGGAGCATTTAGACTTCCTCTAATATTTCAATATGAACACAGTTGTTTCCTGAGTGTAAACTGAGAAAGGCATTAGCAGACCGTGTTGTCCAATAATGTCATCCTTCCTGTCCTCATCAACTCATGTGACAACACTGGAGGGCTGCTGATTTAAAAAACTGACATCTCTCTTGTTGCTCTCATCAAAAGGATGACTGAGGAAGAAATGGAGGCTGACATAGAGCCTTCCTGCTCTATCCCTCTAGTACTGAGAATAGGGGCAAGTTCCTTAGGTGTAACTAGGAAAGATTAAAGGAATAAATAGCAACCTAAGATCTGGCCTGAAAGGAGCAAGGTAGTATGTTGGCCTTTTAATACCACTAATCTTTCAGCGCAGCAATGCAGATTGATACTCTTTTTCCCTCAGAAGCATTAAATTTGAGAAAAGCAATATTGTTTTGTGGCTAAAGCACTGAACTGAAAGAACCTGCATTTTGTTTTCAGTTCTGTCAGCGACACACTGTGTGATCCTAGAGGAGTCGCTTCATGCCTTTCCTCATCTCTGAAATGAAGTTAATACTTTTTAGCTTTTTTGTTAAAGAGCATTGAGTTCAGTGTGTGAAGAGTGCTCTAAAAGTGCAAAGTATGATTTCATTACTGCTATTGGTATATGAAAACAAGATTACTAGTGTTAGATGTAGATAATTTACAGGCCAAGTGATGATTTTTTTTATTAGGCCTTTCACGACCCATCTCTGCAACATATAACATACTCTAAATGTGCAATTTCATGATAGACTGAAATTGCTCCTCTGGAAGCATTCAGGTCTGCTGGATAAATAATAGCCATTCTGTCACAGTTTTTGAAGTATGCACTAGGGCAGTTCCACAAAGTACACTCTTGTCTGTTTAAGTATCTCACTTTTTTGTCAAGAGAACCTTCCTTTATTCTCATGATATCAGTATGATACCAAATTCAAACAAACAGTCAAAAGGCTTTGATTCAGATAATGTTCTTTATATTATCCTTCAGAAACTTTTTTGGTAATACTGAGGTAGTTGAAAGAATAACTTAAGACAAATATCTGGCTGACTCAACCACTCAAAAGTATAAAATTAGTGGTAGTGCTTCATTTTTTAGCTTTCAAGCTTATTTGCATATTTAAGTTTAGATGCCTTTATGTTCAGCCAGAGACAGTTAAGTCAACGTAGAGTTCTGAGCTAGTGCAGAGGTAGCTTTAGCAATGAAAACTGGAATTTTCTAAAGTTTTGTCAATCTGGATCACAGCTTAAATTTGTAACAATTTAATGTAATTACGTTATGTTTATACTGTTTTAAAATTTCAAACAAGCAATAACTGTAAACAAAATTAGGATTTGCCTAGTTATATTTTCTTATTTTTTTAATTTATTTATTAAATTTATTATTTAATTATTTCTATTTTTTTTAAATCCAAACTGCTAAGTTTGTGTCAGCCTAATACAACATATGGTTGCAATTTATGTTAACGTAACTACACCAGCTTTGAAACAGGTACCTCTTGTATTACAGAAGCAAACTACAACATGGCCTTCCCTTGTCATTCTACCCATGTCTTTCTCTGTCCCAAAGTATAAAGTAGCATACATGAAGTGCCATCTAAATGAGCCCTTTAATCAATTGTGGCATAGCAGCCTGAAATACTTGAATTTGTAAGAATGATGGTACATATTTTCGTAATAGAAATATGACATCTAGAGTCACAAGATTTTCATCACTGTACCATAAATATAGTCAAAAGCATTTGTATTTTATTTAAAGTAACAAACTGTAAGTGCAGGGTAGGTAGCTATATAATAATAGACATAAAAAGAAAAAAATATAAATTCCAGGTTTCAAACATACAAAGGAAATTTTTGAAACCTGATTTAAAACAAAACAAGCAAACTAAAAGGCCTGCCTTTAGGTTGGGTTTTGAAAGCAGCTTGAAAGCTATGTACGTTCACTGAATGACTTGGAAAATCAGAGCCTTAGAATTTTAAGTATGCAGGCAGCAGACCACAGCCTGAGTACCAAGCAATTTGCACCTCCGTTTTAGGCTTCAGGCCCTTGTCCTCCTATGTTAGGCCCTGGCAGACAACTTGGCTGTTTGCGCAGACTTACCTAGTGTTCCCACTTTTCCTACCACGATCCTACCATACCTACTCCCTAGGCACTGGTATCCAATGGCAGGGCAAAGTTCAGTGAAGCCTCCCCCTGACAGGGTAGTAAACCCTGCTGTCGAAGCGCCAGTGCCAACTTTATAGAGGCAAAGGTAGGACTGGCCAGAGAAAAGGTGTTTCTAGGATGCTAACTACAAATAGCTAATTCTTTACAAGGGCTCTTACTGGAGGACAATCCTGGTTGAAAGTTACGGCTTCTTGCTGAAGCATAAAAATGATCAGTCTAGTGTCCTGATCTACTAGCTAGGTTCAGACCAAAATGTTGTCTTCTCCAACTACCTTTTTGAATGTTACATTTTTCTACTACTCTGAGAGGAAGAAATTCCAATAAGCAATTTGTAAGAAAGTAATATCAATTCTCTAACTCTAAAAATTTGCTTTTGGTTTGTTTGCTTTTTGGTTTGTTTGTTTGTTTTTTGTTGTTGTTGTTGTTGTTGTTTTGTTTTGTTCTATTTATTTTTTATTTAAACCAAAAATTAATGTGTGGTCAACCAGACAGTTTAATCTATATGAGGGAAAAGCCTGGTCTCTTTTGCAGCTTTATTATTAAAAAAACTCCATGAAGTTGTTCATTATATGCTACCAGTGAAGCAACGCTCATATTAATAAATGTATTGCTTTCAATTCCTTTTGTTTGCAGTATTGGAAATTATTCTCTTCCCACTGACAATAAATACTTTGAATGAGAGTAGAACACTTGCATATTTGGGCTTCAGTGTCATTTGTCCCCTTCCTTGTTTGAGCAGTGTGGTGGGTGGTGCAGGGAGGGTAGGCTTGCTACATTTGTCAGTTTGTTATTGGGAAACCTTAACCTTTGCCTTGTGCAAAAGTAAGACTGGGCATTGGAAGATGCTTCCTTGATTAGCTGCATAGTTGGTGGTGGCCCCTGTAACAGACACTCTACTACGGGTTATCTGCTATATTTAGACACCTACATCAGCATCTAAGGCCTCACTGTTTATGTCGCTGAATATAGACGAAGGTACCTAGTGTTAAAACACCCGTATTACTATGCCCTGTGTGCCGTCCTGTTCCAGCATTTCCTATGACTTGCTCAGTTAATCTCCACCAAAGTCTTTATTCCAGCTGGGAATTTGATCCTGAAGAGGGAAGAACACAAGTGACATATGGATGCACAGGGTGGTCTGTAGTTCTTTATCATCTCTTCTCATGGAAACATGAGATTGAGAGAGGCCTTTATGTCATACTTTGTATTACGAATCCGTTGAGGTCAGTGGGGTTAGGTGACTGTAAAATTGCTGCAACAGAGAAAAGGCTCCAACCATTTATAATATCAGTTTGTTAAGTCAAAGGGTAGTTTTTAATGCTTTAGTGGGAAATATCTACATAAAAGAAGCAAGAAAAACATTATGAAAGGGACAATTTATTGTGTGCGATACAAGCATTTAGCAGAACCCTTATTTACTCTGAAACTTTAATAATGGAACTGTTGCTTCTACTGAATGCCAGGATTCTTGCTAGATGCATACAAATTAGTTTAGAAAGTTTGAAAATATATTCTGTTTTTAAAGAGTATACTGTATTTTTAAAATATGTATTAAATTACAAGAGAATTCCCAGAGTACTGTGGTGCTCTATAATTAGATTTGATTTCCGATGAACTTGATAAGTCTCCTGTAATGCTGCTGTGATAACTGTGATCTTAAATTAGATTATGCAAGGCATGAATGTTTACAAAGTAAAAGCATCACACTAAGGTTAGAAAAGAATGGAAAATCTCTCAAAAAAGTAGAGCAAAACTCTTAGTTTCTCACATCCAGTTGACTTGCATTGTTTGAAGGAAAGAGAACTGCGTACTTTCATGGTAAAAACTAGACTAGACTAGATACATCCTAGACTAGATACCTAAAACTAGTTGAAGAATTCCTGTTGCATGACAAAAAGTAGCTGCAATATACAGCTATAACTTTGGCTTGGAATAATGTGTTTTTTTTCATAATGGAAGAGTATATGAGGCCATGTAATGAACATAGGCCACATGCAAAATATTGGCACTGAACTTTCTGGTTTTCCAGACTAGTCTAACTG